CAGGGAGATGGGGAGCAAAGCAGAGCAAAGCTGCGGAGCACGCGGGCAGCTGATAGCCCAGATGCGTCTGGGCTGTCCGCTGCCCGCGTGTTCCACCACTTTGCTTCCTCTCCCTGGTCTGCTGGAGACCAGGGAGAGGGAGGGCCCCATTCGTAACTGCGGATCCAACGTAAGTCAGATCCGCGTAACTCGGGGACTGCCTGTATTGGTGTGGTTAGAGCAATGATTATAACATCTTAGGTATAAGAAGCCACAATTTTCCTGTAATTTATCAAAAGAATTGCAATATGTAAATCAAAGTGAATTGTATGATGATTGTCACAGCTATAACTAGCACTAAGCATTGCTCTCCTCAATAACTACATTAAAATATCTTCAAACGGTCAGTCATAATTTATTTTTCCTGTGGTTAAAGTTTTCTCCTATTAGGCAATTAGTTTTCCATATGTGAAATTAAATGTATTGTATCCTTCAAATGTGAGTGCAAATCACAGCACAACATAAAAACTGAATTAGATCACATACGCATCCCAAGTTTTGGATAAACTAACAAATCTCCTGAACTTTTTTCACATGGTTACCACAGTGTAATGTGAATCTAATGATGTGAGAGTATGTAGCCACTTAAGCATACATCTCACAGCTGCCTCTTCAGTGAAATCTGCATTGCTCAGAGAGCCTGGTTTTTGTTCTGGTGTGTAATATTCACTTGCTGTTTTTAAATGACAAACTGAAATTGTAGAAATTTGTCATGTCAGTAGATTATTTTTTTCATAAATACTTACAATAATGATACTGGTGGTTGGTCACAGTGGATGTACAAAGTAAGCATGTTATTGCAAAAGTATCAAATGCATTTTAACGCAGACCAGCATGTTTTGCCCTTGCAGCACAGCTAAACATACTCCCTTGTGTTTATCAAGGTTAGAGAAATACTGGCTGAATATGATCCTAGTTTTATGCCCATTGGCCTAGATGAAGCCTACTTGAACATAACAGAGTACTTAGAGGAAAGACAGAACTGGCCTGAAGATAAAAGAAGTTACTCCATCAAAAGAGAAAACATTGCAAAAAATGGTAACCAAATGACTAAATATTATAGATATTTATCTTTTACAATTTAGCATAGTAAATTTGAAATTAGATAGATATGAAATTATTTATCTTTTACAATTTAGCATAGTAAATTTGAAATTAGATAGATAGATATGAAATTGTTTATGGCTTTGTAGTCAGTTCTCACATCTAAACAAATCTGTTCCCTATCATAGAGGATCTCTTCTCTGAATAAGTCTTTTATAGCACAGTGCAATCAGCTCCATAGTATGTAAGCCCTAACTTCATTTTAGAAGTGTGAGAAACCATGTTGCAGAGTCATGCTCCATTAAAGTGTAAGAATAAAAATACATCAGAAAATAACTCTTCAAAAATAAAGAATGATTAAAAGATGATTATATCTGAATTTGCTATTTGAATGTGGAGAGGCAAATTCCCACGGCTGGATTTACCATTGAGGCAATTAAAGTTTTGTGACAAAGTCTTGTGCTAGTTATTGACTTTTTGCAAAAATGGCATCATTTACATCTCTCAGTATTTGAAAAATATCAAGAAGGTCACTGAGGAGATAAACAAGAACAAATCTTTCAATTCTACTGAAAAACACTGGCCCATCTTCTATCAGAACAGAGATGTAATGAAGTAGGCATTATAGACATGTTGCATATTGGCAAGTGTTCACTTAGGCATGTCTGTCTTCAAAATAACTCAGTTTATGCTTAAATGAACAGGTTACATTTTTTAATACTACTTGCAAACCCTCAGGACATGGAATTCGCATTGAAGTCAGTGGTGGTTCCATATGTTAAAGGTTTGTAGAGTCAGATACTGAGAACCATACAACTATAGGACTGGAATCGACCTCAACAGGTTAACTAGTCCAGTTACCTGCTCTGAGGCAGAACTAATTATTATCAAATAACATCAGTTTCTTCAGTCTTTCCTCATAGGTCATGTTTTCTAGAGTTCAGTCATTTGTGTTGCTCTCCTCCTGGATTTTCTCCAATTTGACCATCTCTTCCCTGTGTGAAGTATAGTGCCCCAAACTGGACAGTAGTCCATCTGACACATTATCTGCGTGAAGTGGAGTAGAAGAATTATTTCTTGTGTCTTGTTTCCAACACTCCTGCTAATACGTCCCAGAATGATCATCGAGTCTTAGAATTGGAAAGACCCTCAAGAGGTCATCAAGTCGAGTCCCCTGCAGGATCAAGAACCATTTAGATCATCCCTGACAGGGGTTTGTCTACCTCACTCTTAAAAAATCTCCAATGATGGAGATTCTATAACCTTCCTAGGCAATTTATTCCAGTAGTTAACTACACTAACTGTTTGGTTTTCCTAATGTCCAACCTAAACTTCCTTTGTTGCAGTTTAAGCCCATTGCTTCTTGTCCTATTCTGCAGAGGTTAAGGAAAATATTTTTTCTTCCTCCTCCTTAAAACAGCCTTTTAGGTAATTGAAAGCTGTTATCAAGTTCCCTCTCAGTTTTCTCTTTTCCAGACTAAACAAATCCAATTCTTTCAGTCTTCCTAATAGGCCATGTTTTCTAGATCTTTAATCATTTTTATTTATCTTCTCCAGTTTATCCACATCTTTCATGAAATGTGGCACCCAGAACTAGACACAGTAGTCCAGTTGAGGCCTAATTAGCATGGAATAAAGTGAAAGAATTACTTCTTGTGTCCTGTTTACAACACTCCTGCTAATACGTCCCAAAACAATGTTTGCTTTTTTCAATAGTATTACGTTGTTGATTCTTATTTAGTTTGTGACCCACTATCACCCTTGACTCCTTTTGTACAGTACTTTATAGACAGTCATTTCCATTTTGTATTTGTTCAATTGATTATTCTTTACTGAGTGTTGTAATACTTTGCATTTGCTATTGAATTTCATCTTATTTATTTCAGACTGTTTCTCTAGTTTAAGATCATTTTGAATTCTAATGATGTCTTCCTAAGTGACTGCAACCCCTCTCAGCTTGGTATCATCTTCTACCTTTATAAGTGTACTCCCTATGCCATTATTCAACTCATTTGTGAAAATATTGAATGGAACCAGACTCAGTGCCAAATCCCACTCAATATGCCCTTCCAGCTTGATTCTGTTTTTGTTTTCTTTTGTTTTTATATTAATTCTTTATAGTTTGATGTAATTTCCACTTCTTGTATGATGGTTTCAGTTTCAGATCACTGAAAATCTTCTGGGAAAGCCAGGGTGTCCTCACTTCCTGTCTTTCCTATGCATCAGTATAGTTTTCTCTTTTGGCCTTAATAACATCTCTTTTTTAAAAACTGCAAAAATCTCCTGAACTTTTTTTGTCTTTTACTTGTGTCCTCTGGGATCTTATCTACCATTTTGCAATGACTTACAAACTTTACATAGCAGATCTCTTGTTGACATTGGCAAAGAAGTCTATTTAAAGAATTTTCTTTCAGAGGAGAACTTAGGGCAAATGGTTTAGATATTTTAAAATAAGATTATAAGCAAAGCTTTTTTTTACACTGAGGTTATGTTTTTAAGGGAATCTTTAAAGTAATTTGCCCCTAAATTTGTATTAGACTTTGTGTATTTAAAAGAAAATAATTGAAAGCTGTACTAATAGAAATATTGTAGGAACTTTATAAACAGTTCAATGAACAATTTTTTTTGTTTTGGATGTTAATATTTCTTTTCAGTGTTTGCAACCCAGATATGGCAACATTCTGCTACTTCATGAAACTGACTGACTAGTCTATTTTAATTTCCAAGTCAAGTGAAGTCCACAAAAGTAAATAATCACAATTTAAAAAATGTTTAAATTTTGTTTTAATAATTGGATTTTTAATAATCAGTTTTAATATGCTGCAATAGTAGCATATATTTGGTTTTTTAAATTATGGTTTTTAACATAAAAATTCCTTCCAACTATTATGGAGAAAAATTATTATTAAAAAAGACACTTTCACGGTATATTTCTTTGATGTTAGAATAAGCCTTTAGAACCTTGACAGTGAAATCCTTTTCCTTAATGACATAAGTGCTTTAATTGTGGGGAGGAGAGGACATGTTATTATGTGGCCTCTCCTTCCCTGCTCTTCCCACACATACATTCCCTTCCCCAAACTTCAGGTGATGAGTACACGTGGAATTGCTATTTTGCTCTTGCCATGGGCCATAATCAGCATAAAAAGCCTTTCTTTTTCTTTTTCTCCCTCAAAGACACAGTGGGCTTGAGTATTCCCCACGATGCTGTATAATTTACACTTGATCTCACAAACACATCTATTCCCACTTGTTCTTTCCACTCTTTTACTGTTTTCTTTTTAACCAGTCTCTTAGCTGTTCTAATATGGTAATATTTTCCATATTATCTAAGTACATAATATTTTTCTGTTTACCTTCCCAGTTTTGGTGCTTTTGCAAGCTGCACTGCAGGGCCTCACACTGAATTTCATGCGTTTGGGTACATCTAGAAGATGTTGAATAGAGCTAATCAGAAATTTTCAATGGGATATTTTTCTGTTAAAAATGTATATTCATCAAAAGCTATGTGTTCTGTATGTGTATCTTTTTACAACTCTTGCATTGGCAACCCCTCACCTCCTCAGCAGCACAGATTACTAAGGCTTTGAAAGAGAGATATCCCCGTAGGTGCTCCACATTAGGTTGGTGCGTCGCTGTTTAGCCTCAGAACGGAGATTTCATAGCAGTGTCCCTGGGGCTTTATACACACGCACCAGCAGCCATGCGCTGTTAGGTTGCAGGCATCATGCATATGCGAACTCCCCGCCCCCACTCTGCAGTTCCTTCTCTACTACCTCCATCTACAGATGGACTCAGCAGTACTTCCTAGCTTCGTGTCTACATGATTATGCTTCATAAAACCAGTTAAATTCATTAATTAGTTAGTGAGTTTTAAATAGTTAATTACTTTGTTAGTTAAAAATATTTATTAGTATAAGGGTTTTTTTTCTTTTTCTCCCAGTTAATCCCTTCCTGCAGTCTCTGACTCCTTCCATAGGCATGCCTGGCTCACCGGGATTTAAGTGCTTCATCTCATGTAAAGAGCATATCCCAATATCGGATGGTCACTCACAATGTGTCCTCTGCCTCGGAGAGCAGCATATCTCTCAGAAATGCCCATATTGCGCAGGAAGACAGAGACCTCCCCCTCAAGTTATTTTTATTGGAAAACTCGCTTCGACCAGCCTCTGATCTGGGCCAGCAGACTGAGGATCTCAAGCAGCGGGGATCCAAAAAGCCCGCCAAAAAGCGAGTCACCTCAGCACCTCAAGGGGCTACAGCACTGAAGTGGTCATCTCCCTCACAGCCAGTGCTGAGAGCAGTGGCAGCACCGCGCCTCAGCATGTATGATGTTGCTGGCGTCTCTGGAGCCCCCAGCAGAGACAAACAGCATGCATGCACTCTAAGGTGACAGGCTTCAAATTGCTTGCCTCATTAGCTGCAGCACCATCCAGCACTGATACGATCTTGCCAACACAGCACGAGAACGTGGAGCCAATCACGTTAACAGGCACCTCAGCTGCCACCACAGAGTCACCTAATGCGGCACAACTGCCCTCGGCATAATTCAGCACCTCATCCTCCGTGCTCCCCACTACATCACCGACAACACCTATTGGGCATTACACTCAACACAGAGACTTAGTAGTCTCATCCACGTTTAACTCACCATTTTTACAACCTGAGAGCTCTCCCACTGTGTTAGTATCACAGAGATCACTCTCCCAGGAAAGATCTTCATCCGAATCGGATGATGACTTCTCTAGGGATTTTTTTACCAGAGAATTCTCCTTACCCAGCTCAGAGTATTTACTCTTCTAGTTTTGGGAATATGCCTTCATATTATGGCAATCCCTAGGTACCTCCACCTTAGCCTTACCCCTACTGCCAATACTGGGATAAATGGCAATATTATCAGAAATACCAGCATGGCCTGAAATGACACAGAGTGCAGTATTTCGCCTCCAAACAAATACAAGAAGGGGACCAACTTACACAGGAGGCAGCAACCCCTCCTGACCCAAAGAGCCCCCCCTCCAGTGGAGGGAGGGTCTCTGGCCCCAGCTTCAATGACTTCTAATGATGCTGCACGTTTCCAAGACCTTTTTAAGCTTGTAGCTGCTGAATTAAATAGTCCTCTTCAAGAGATTGTGGAAAATCAGCATGAGCTAACAAACATACTGGACTCAGTAACACCATCAAACATAGCATTGCCAATTAATCCAGTATTAATAGAACTGGCAAGGATGGTGTGCAAACTCCAGCTTCAATCCCTTTTACGGCTAAGAGAACTGATAAGAAATATTATGTCCCACTCAAAGGTTTGGAATTTCTTTTTTCTCACCCAGCACCTAATTCTCTTGTGGTGGAAGCTGTACAACAGAAATCCAAGCAGTAACAATACTGGTCTACCCCAACAGACCGCGATTGCAAAAGGCTTGACGCATTTGGGGGCAAAATATTTACTACTTCTACTTTATAATTTCGCATTTCAAATTACGCAGCTTTATTGAGCAAACATGATTACAGGAATTACACCAAGCTGAATGACTTTGTTGTAGACGTTCTTGAAGCTAAAAGGCAACACTACAAAGCTCTAGTATCCGAGGGTATGTCTAGACTACATGACTCCATCGACGGAGCCAGGTAGATGAGTTTACTAGACATAGGAAAATGAAGTGGCGATTTAAATAATCGTCGTTTCATTTACATCAAAATGGCCACCGCGCTGTGCCAGTCAGCTGTTTGGCGGCAAAGCGGGGCAGTCTGGACGCGCCATGGTTGACAAGGGAAGACTTTGTCGACTGTTCCGGTAAATGTCCTTTCATGAGGCATACCGGAGCGGTTGACAATGGCTGACTGGCACATCGCAGCGGCCATTTTGATGTAAATGAAACGACGATTATTTAAATCGCCACTTCATTTTCCTATGTCTACTAAACTCATCTACATGGCTCCGTTGACGGAGCCATATAGTCTAGACATACCCCGAGGGTCACACGATTGCAAGAACAGTATTACAGGCTGCTTTAGACGCCACTGACATGGCTATACGTTCTACAGCAACAGTGGTAGTAATGAGGAGGGCATCATGGTTTAGCTCCACTCCATTCCCTAGAGAGATTCAATCTACAGTAGATCTGCCTTTCGACCGCCAGAAGTTGTTTGAAGCGAACACAAACGAAATTCTCCACTCCATGAAAGACTCCAGAGTGATCCTTCGATCTTTGGAGAATTACAACCAAGTACCTAGAAAAAGGCAATACAGGTATCAGCCCTACCCGAAACATTGATCCCCTCCATATGCACAACACTACAATAGACAAAACCAGCAGCAACAGAACAGAGGCAGAGGCAGAAACCAATGCTGCCTCCCTCCCTCTACCAATTCCCAACAGTCGCAGCAGTCCAACAAGCAAATTTGATCATCAGGTCAAGGGTCTGGAGAGCCTCTCACCTATTCTAACACCAGCAACACAAGCTAATCTCTTCCCATCATTGATTGTTGCCCTTCTTCAACAACTGGGAACATGTAACCTCTGATAGATGGGTCCTGCAGATAATTGAAAAAGGCTATCTTATTCCCTTTGTGTCCATACTCCCTCTCCACGCACTTCCCCGGCCCTTTTCAGGGACCACTCTCTCAAGATCCTTCTTCAACAAGAAGTAGAGCACCTCTTACACATAGGGGCAATTGAACCAGTCCCCACACAATTTAGGGGCAAGGGTTCTACTCCCATTACTTCATGACTGAAAAAAGGTCGGGGGACTAGGGGCCATTCTAGACCTTCGAGCCCTCAATAAATTTGTTCAGAAACAAAAATTTAAGATGGTAACGCTTGCTACCATATTACCAGCATTGGAACAGGATTTTTGGTTCTCGTTCGTCGACTTGCAAGATACATACTTTCACATTGCCATCCACCCTGCTCACAGGCGTTTTCTTCATTTCATTGTAGATTCTCAACATTACCAATACAAAATGCTTCCATTCGGACGATCTATGGCAAATGTGCTGGCAGTTGTCAAAGCGTACCTGTGGAAACAAAGTGTTATCATATTTCCTTACCTAGACGACTGGCTCCTCAAGTCACACTTGCACTAAAGCCTCGCTCACACAACAATCCCTGCCGTTCTCTGTTGGTCACAGGACACCTATTCTGACACCTGGGCCTTCAGGTGAACAAAACCAAATCAACGCTCTTTCCTACACAAAAAATACAGTTTATAAGAGCATGCCTCGATTCGAAAATGGCCACCACATCCCTATCTACAGACCATTTTCAAAAAATTGTGGCCTCAGTAAATACCTTACGATCCAGCCCCCGCACAGCAGCACTCAAATGTCATTGGCTGTTGGGGCACATTGCAGGATGCAACTTGATAGTCAGCAATGTGCATCTGCACACGAGATGTTTACAGAGCTGGCTGGGACAGATGTACAAACCCAATGTCCGTCCGCTATCCAAATCCCTAGTCCTTCCAGAAATAGCAAAGGAATCCTTACGCTGGTGGCTGAGCCTATGGAACCTTTGTTCTGGAGTCCTCTGGCATGCACCAGAACCATCTATCTCCATGATGACAGATACATCTCATACAGGATGGGGTGCCCACTTACAATGTCACACCTGCCAGGGCCCGTGGTCCAGCACCAACAAGAACTTGCACAGAAACGTCCTGGAACTGTGGGCAGTCAGGAATGCATGCATCAAATTCCTCCTATTAATCGCCAGCAGCCACATCAGACTGTACATAGACAATGTCGCTGCAGTGCTTTATATAAATCATCAGGGTGGAGCCTGATCTCGAGCACTTTGCACAAAGGCCTTAAGACTTTGGAACTGGTGCCTGAAATACAACACAATTATCACTGCAGTGCATCTTCCAGGCCCCCTGAATACAGTGGCAGATTCACTCAGCAGAGCCCTCCCGATGGAACACAAGTGGCAAATGAATCCACACATATTGACGGACATCTTCTGCCTGTGGAGTCACCCTATCATAGACTTGTTTGCCACACAGTCCAGCAGTCAATGCCCCCTATTCTGATCCAGGGCAGGAATAGGCAAGGGATCAATGGGAGATGCCTTCCTCATCGCATGGATGTCCCACCTATCCTATGTGTTTCCTCCTGTACCCCTATTGAACAGAGTAGTTCACAAGATAAGGAGGAACAGGACCCATCTCATACTTATAGCTCCAGCATGGCCACGCCAGCCATGATTTCCCTTCCTTGTTACCAGCTGGTTCCCTCAACATCCTCCTTACCTACCATCATCAACTTCTGCACCTTAAACAAGTGGGCCTCACAATAAGCTCCATTAAAGTTCACCACACATTTGCAAAGCACTGTGCATTTACATGGATCTCTTTCCAACCTGAAACTAGCTAAGGCCGTTCTTTTCACTGCTTTTCTGCCAGATCCGAAGTCCCTACCTCCCTAAAGGGAAATTTCTTTGTAGTCCCCTAATGTGGAGCACCCATGGGGACATCTCTCTCTTGAAGAGATTACTCACCTCGATAGTAACCGACGTTCTTCGAAATGAATGTACCTATGGGTGCTCCACAACCCTCCCTTCGTTCCTTCTGCTTTAGGATCTTGGCCTTCTCAAGCCATTATTTCAGACTAGAGAAGGAACTGAGGAATGGGAGGCAGGGCACGCGCATACGTGATGCCTGCAGCCTAACGTGTGTGGCCCCAGGGACACTGCTATGAAATCTCTGTTCTGAGGCTCGGTGGTGGCGCACCAACCTAATGTGGAGCACCCACGGGGACGCTCATCTCAAATAACATCAGTTACGAACAAGGTGAGTAACCTACTCTTCCAGGTTCCTCAGCAGCCCACAGGACAAGAAATTTGGGAACCTGGGCTCACAAGCTCCCTGGCTCTCCTACAGCCTACCCAGCAGTATGAACCTGGTCTCCTTGGTAGCCCAGCAAGTGAGCTGCGTGGAAGGCTGGGTAGTTCTTGCTGCTGGGAACCCCGGGAGACTGAATTCTGCTACAACAGACCAGCTGAGGTACCAGGCAACTTGGGATCTCCTGTATCCTGGTTGGGGGGCCACCTCACAGGCTGCTGCAGAACTAGAACGTCTAGATACTCTTGTTTTAGAAACACCAGAATATTCCCACAGAGATAACATTTTAGTGTTTTTAAACAAAATATTGCAGAATTTCATTTCTACTAAAAATTAAAAGGTTTTAACTTTTTATCTAAATTTTGGACAAAAACATTTCTAAAAATCTCAATATGGCTTCCCACCAAAGTGAAATTCAAATTTCCTGGCCAAATGTAATCCTGGGCCAACCACAAGTAACATTTTTTATATTTTAATAAAAGGGGATAATTGAAATTATTTAAGCTACATAATTATTTGAACTTTGCAAATGGGGGAAAAAAGTAAAATAGCTAAACCTGCTTTTGTCAGGAGCCGTGTAGAAGAATAAATTCACAAAATGTATGTTGCTTATTAAGAAGGTTGAATTCTTAATCTGTGTACCCTTTTATAATGTAGGTAAACAAGATGTAACTGCAACTGATGAACTAAAGTCAAATGAAGCTGCACACTCTGTCTCACCAATATTGTTTGAAGATAACATTTCCATAACAGAGGAACAGCTTGTTGCTACTTCCCAGTTGTGCAATGAAGAACAGAGAGATAAAGAACTGTTGCTAAATTCAGTGGTCTTTGGAACTTCAGCTGAAGAAGTTGTGAAGGAAATTCGCTTTCGGATTGAGCAAAAAACTGGATTGACTGCCAGTGCAGGTACAGTCATACATAAATAATCATATTTTGAATGTTTGTAGTGCCTTTCGCCCAGTGATCTCACAGTACATTACAAGCTTTAAAAAATTAGCCTTGGATCACCTCTTTGATGTAAGGAAGTATACCTCATTTACAGATGTGTAAACAGAAGCAACAAGCTTGTGACTTGCTTAAGCTCACACAAGAAATCTCTTCCAGAGTTAAAAATAGAACCCAATCTTGTTCTTTATTTAACCACAAGAAAACTTTTTTCTTTAATGAAATCCTATTGCTGATCTTGTATAATTTTGGTTAATGATAGCAGTCACAAGATCACTTTGCTTCCTGATTTCTTTTTCAGTCATAACCCCTCTGCTAATGTAGAAAAATGACCGAGTTGTCTTATACCTGTGGACAGCTGCATTTAAATCTTAACTTGTGCTACTGATTTTGGAAGTCGTTAATCAAAGATAGATTTAACATGGAAATGCTGTAGTTGCTACTTTTTATGACACAGACATGTTAGCAGAGCTATGTAGAGAAGCATGTTCCAACAGTTCTCCACACTATGCCTTGCTCGAGCTTTCTTTGTCAGTGACAGGTTAAAAAAAACCCTGTTTACTAGATATGTTAGTATTTACTTTTGAAAGCAGTGCCAGTTTTAAATCAGTGCAGCTTGTACCTGCCCAACTGAGCATGCCAGTTGGAACTCAATCTATGATATCCCCTCTGAATCAATCCTATTAGGCTGTGTCAGAGATTAAACTCCCAAACTGTATTCCGCCCATTTGTTCAGATAGATGTTCTTTGACCTCTTAATGACTTGCTGATCTGTGTATAGAAGTTATCAGAGCTTCCAGAGCTTGGAGCACAGGTAAGGGGTCACGTATAGGCATGGGAAATGTCACATGTAAGTACAGGTAGAGAAGAAAGTAATAGAATGGGACACAGCTTCATGAGACCCAGCATATTACAGGCAGTCCCCGGGTTACATGGATCCGACTTACATCGGATCCCAACTTAACCAGCAGACCAGGGAGACGCGGAGCGGCTTTTCTCAGCAGACACCTCAGCTTGAGAATAAAGGACTGAGGGAAGTGAGGTGTGGGAGAATAAAACTGAGCTCTGGAGAAATGTTTGGCTAGAGTTTCCCCTACAATATGTACCAGTTCCAACTTACATACAAATTCAACTTAAGAACAAACCTACAGTCCCTATCTTGTACGAAACCCGGGGACTGCTTGTACTTCGAATAGAGCCCTGCAAAATTCAGGAGCGGTATTGCTCGACTACAAAAAAACAGTCTAAGTTTCATTTCTCTAAAATGTCATCCTCTTCTGGTTGAGTCACAGTTTAAAATAGGGGTGTGGGCCTCTTAAGTATGCTAGAGATTTGATTAACAAAAATGAAAAGTGATTACTGATTAATAATCTGACAATCAAGAAGGCTAATTGGATGGTATTAGTAAGAAGCGATATACAGAACGATTCCTATCAGCAGCACATATAAATGATAATCACTGTAAACAGCAGTCAGTTTTAAACAATCAAGGTTATAGAGAAGAATCGCTCTATTTGCACCTGCTATTCAGCTGTTGGTACCAATAAGGTTCATCTGTAAAAACCTAGTTATTTTGTGTGACAATTTAAGGCTCTGTCAATACAATTTATGAAAAACTGCTGTATCTTGAGAGCCTGCCTGTATGTATGTATGTGGATCAGCCATTATTGATAGGTTCTGCAGGAGGGACAATGGGGAATGCTAAAGTTAACAATGGTACTTTTGCTACTCGAAAGTTATATGTACATGTTACATGAGTTTTAACATATATCCAGCTGGACAGCAGGGGAAGGCAGGAACAATGTAAAGTTGCCCAAAAGACAAAACAAAGGAAGTTAGTAGAGAAGGAGTTAAATAGCATACTTCACAAGGAACAGAGGAAGAATGAGAGAGGGGGAAAAAAGTGTGGGACAGGTGAAAGTAAGATCTCCCATCCGAAGCGTAACAAGGGTGTTAAGTGCCTGGGGGCAAAAGAAGAATTTGCGCCCCTCCCCCCATTCCCTCCTTGCCTATCCTGCTGCCGCATGGGGTCATTCTCCTTCCAGCCAGACTGACATGCCCTCTGGCCAATCGGCGGGCTGCGGTTTCTCGGGGGGGGGGAGGCGGGCTACAGGTGAGGACCCCAAATGCTGCGGCCCAATGGGAGGCACCTCAGACTGACTGGTGGTGAAGGGGATTGTGGGGGTTGTAGTTGCAGATGGGGCCTGTGCACTAGCTGCATTCTGTGCATGCTCAGCCTGAACCTCTTCCCTGTGCACTGCCCCTGCCGGGTGCTTTGCACTCAGTTTTGATTTCCTGCAGGTATGGAAGTGGATGGCGCCTGCGGGGTCCTAGTGTTATCCCTTCCTCTGCTGTCCAGCTGGCACCCATGGGGTCCTAGGACTCCTAGCACTGTCCTTCCCTCCGTTGCTAAATTGGCACCTCTCTAGCATGGCGCCCTGGCGCAACTCCCCACCCCATGCCCCTGGCTACACCACTGTCTCCTAAGTGGGAAAAGGACTCTATGGGTGTGTCTACTCTGCAGGGCTTAACTCAAAATAAGCTATGCAAATTGAGCTATGCAAATTGAGCATCTGCATAGCACTTATTTCGAAATAGAGCACTCTTCTTCTGACTTCCCTTATTACTTGTACAATGAGGATTACAGGAGTCGGAGTAAGAAGTCCTCCAGCTTGACAATATTTTGACATTATTTCGAAATAACTGCCTGCTGTGTAGACGTGGGCTAAGTTATTTCGGAATAATGCTATTTATTTCAAAATAGTGTTGCAGTGTAGACGTACCCATATGACAGAGGGAAACCACCTAGCATGTAACGGCCTGCATGAGGCCTGAAATGCCTGCCTACTTACAAGGGAATTGTGAGCTAGGAAGTGGCATTGTGGTTAAATACTTGTTGTTCTGCAGGATCTGTGCTCTGCGTAGAGTGTGGGCATATGTCTTATGCTATACAACTACAGTAATCTCTTGAGAGCTCTAAACTGTAAGCAGAAGCTTTACATCTTTGGGGTGTCATTTTGGGGACAGGTATGGCTAAGAGGAGGTATCTTGGGGATCAAGTGCCTCTAGCCCTGGAACGAAAGGCACAAATGGGCTGAGGAGCTCTATGAACGGGTAGCAGATTGAGATTCAGTGTCCAAGCTGTGTGCTAGGGGCCAAGAGAAAAAACAGAGCTGCAGCCTGCTGCGACTTTGGAAGCTTAAAACATCCAGGGAGCCAGAGGCTTGAACACCATTCCCAGCAGTCCTGGGTTTGGCTGGAAGGAGTGCCTGGCTGGATCTGTGACACTTTAGTTACTAAAAAGAACAAAAAAGACACACAGATCAATTAAAACTATATATCATCCTTCATTCTCAAGAACAGAGAGCTATTCCATCTCTCATAGATATTTACATGATACCCATTACTATAGCACTTGAGTGAGCACCTCACAGTTTTTAATGTAATTATTTTCACAACATCCTCCAGAAGTAGGGGAACATTATTATCACTTTTTAAAGGTGGGAGAACTGAGGCACAGAGAAGCTAAGTGACTTGCCAAGGATGCCACAGAAGACCAGATGTGGCACAAGGTTTTGAGCCCTAGTCTCCCAGGTTCTAGGTAGTGTCCTAACCACAAGACTACCCTTCCTCATCATTGGTGAAGCTCTACTAAAAGGGTTAGATTGCTAAATGTGTCATAACTATTTGCCATATCTCTGAACTATAATTGAGATTCCTCATTCGTATTTAGATTCAAACTTAACTTCACTTCTGCAACAAGTGTTCTCTTGTACTGAATTTACTATCATGCTAATGTGTAATCATGTATCAAGTTGTAGAAAACTTTGTTTAAAGAAAATTAACCTCTTGTCACTTCATTACATATGTAGCATGTATATGTAGTCCATTTTATATACCTAACCTGATCTACAAACTATACACAATGTGCCACTACTGCATAGCTAAAGTGATACACAGCAGTTCTCAGATGCATACATTTTCAAAAAGTGCCAGAGGACTATAATAACAAAAATGGATGAAAATCTCTGTTTTACATCTGTCATCTCCTTTCCTGTTCTTGTTTGGTCTTTGCCACGCATAGGATGACTTATTTTACACTGTTAAATCTAGGAAGATTGAAATGGAAAATTGTGACTTGTGGTTAAAATGTCTTTTGCTTTGTTTTGCTTTTAAGGAATTGCTCCAAATATGATGTTAGCAAAAATGTGCAGTGATCAGAATAAACCTAATGGACAGTACAGAATCTCCCCTGATAGGCAGTCTGTAATGGACTTCATTAAAGATCTGCCCATTAGAAAGGTAAGAATATTATCAAATTTACTAGATATTCATGTCCTCCTTATGTAAATGATAGTATTCTAAAAGATATCTGAAAGATAATTTCACTTCTTCAGTATCAACCTATTTCTAAAATTGTGTTTCGTTTGAATTCTGCTGAATGTTAAACAGTAAGCATTTATCCAAAAATTCCAACTTCATTGAGACCCATTAATTCTTGTTCTTCAGGTGCCTGGTATAGGAAAAGTAACAGAGAAAATGCTAAAAGCGCTTGGAATTCTGACTTGCACAGAACTTTACCAGCAGAGAGCACTACTTTCCCTTCTTTTTTCTGAAACATCTTGGCATAATTTCTTGGATGTCTCACTTGGTTTGGGTTCAACAGAGTTGGAAAAGTATGTCTTGGTATATGTTTTACAGTGTGTACTTTACATTTTATTAAATGTTTCCAAAAGTTTGTTACATCTTACCCATTGTGAACATTCTAAGATAGATTTGTTTGATTTCACGTATATAAAAAATGCGACTATTAGTAATATTTTACACAAATACCTGCTTTATTACTGTACCAAATGTTAATTTAGGTCTGTTTACACTGAAATAAGGTCAAATTTAATCAGGTAGATTTTTTTTTTTTTAAGCACCCAATTTTTTAAAATTGAAGTTGCGTGTTCCCACTGTGTGCAAGAATATGACACAATTTGAAGTAGCATGTCCCTAGTAAGGTGGCTGCCATCAACTCTGAGAATGAATCACTATGGGTAACTATCCTGCAGTTCCTGCACCCCTTTGTATTCTTGGTTATGCTCTTAGTGCACACTGGGCCCAAAACTGTGTAACAGGTGGCTCTGGGTATATGTTTTCAGCATCCCATAATGCATTTGTCTCCTCTTCCCCCCCCTCCCCCCTCTCCACTTGAAAGCAACATAAAACAGTCTTTTCATGTTCTTTATTTCCCTGGTTATCTGTGCAGACGCCATAGCAGCATAAGCATGGAACCCATTATGGATCCATTGAGCATTAAAGCATTATGGTAATCATATTAACCATGGTGCACCTTAAGCTGGAATATATCCAGAGCGTATTCAGGATCTTCTAGAATGAGAGAATCTCAGGAGGCCATCAACATACTTTTCTGTGAAGTACATGAATAGAATGACCAGCAAATGCTTCCAGCATTGAATCCTCTGGACACAGTGGAACAGTGGTTCTGAAGACAAGCACAGATTAGTGGGACCACATAGTGGTCAGCTTCTGCTCCACTATGTGGTCCCACCTGCTTTTGACCCTGTGGGGCTGTTCCCAGTACTGGTTAACCAGTATCTGGTAAGCATCATCTTAACAAAGGCCTGGGCAAAATATGGCCTGCAGGCCAGCGGCGGGGAGCCCCAGGCAGGCCCCCCAGCTTGCCCCGCATGCCGTGCAGAAAAGTGGCTGCAATTTCTTAATAACAGAAATTCACAAGTATTCTTCCAAGCCGTTAATAGGCTTTTACTATTCATATTCCTATGTGATCACAAAACAAACACATAGGCTACGTCTACACTGGCCCCTTTTCCGGAAGGGGCATGTTAATTTCAGAGATCGTAATAGGGAAATCCGCGGGGGATTTAAATATCCCCCGCGGCATTTAAATACTTATTCCTACTTCAAAGTAGGAATAAGATCCTCCGGAAAAGGGCGCTTTTTCCGGAGGATCGGGGCCAGTGTAGACGCTCTTTTCCGGCTTTTCTAAAAGCCGGAAAAAAGCGGCGGACATTTTTATTTAAATGCCGCGGGGGATATTTAAATCCCCCGCGGATTTCCCTATTACGATCTCTGAAATTAACATGCCCCTTCCGGAAAAGGGGCCAGTGTAGACGAGCCCATAGTGCCCAATCTTCAGCTGCTGTAAATTGTCACAGCTCCGTTGACTTAAATTTGATTATACCAGTTGAAGATCTGTCCCTAGTTTCTGTATCTTCCGCCATATTTAGAGAAGTATTATTGACTGAATTTGTTGGGATAGAACCCAAAATCAGTGTTCGTTCTTCATATCTTTCTGAAGCTCTTCTTATCATGGGCTCTAAATGCTGTCCTGATAGTTTCTGAGCAAATACTGGCCCCTCTTTTTTCTCCATTAGGAACCTATCAGCACATACCTCCCATCATTTCAAAACCTCAACTTAATATTTTTCCATGCTACTTATGAGCCCTACTTAAAGATTCTGGAACCATTTCTTTTAAGTTTGTCCAGCTGTTGCTTTTGGGTAACATTTTCAGAAGCACCTGACAGTACGTTTTCATTGAAAGGGGATGGCAGGGAACCTACGACAGCAAGTCTTAGAGCCTGGGTCAAATGATTCAGGGTCACAAGGCTCACATGATAAGGCTTAAAATAACAGTGTAGACATGCCGTGTTGGGCTGTGGTTTCACAGCCTGCACTCCAGACCAAGCAGGAACATCTGCATTGCTATTTGTAGCTTGTAGTGCAAGCCCCAGGAGCCTAAGTCAGTTAACCTCGGGTCTGAGACTCCCTGCTGTTGATTTTGTTTTTTTTTTCCTCTATTTGCTACGAGATTTACCCAAAGAGATTTTGGAGCCTAAAACCATTGTCACTTAGCCTAAATCTCACTGAAAGTCACTAGGACTTAAGTTCCGAAGCTTCGTAAGCACTTGTGAAATTATTACCTCTTGTTCTAACCATTGCTTCTCTGGTATTAGCAGAATGTCTGGTATTAGCAGAATGAGAAATCCTTCCTTTAAGATTGTAATATAATCTCATTTGTAGTCAAAAGAATAACAACTGTTTAACAGCAACAATTTTGGGGACCCTTTAGGCTTGAAAAGCACAGTATAAATGTAAGCTATCACTCATTTAAAAAAAGAAAAATAAAGTCTTTATATCACAAAAGCTTACTCAATATGTACAAACACAAATATTTGTATTTTTTCCAAAATACAAAGTAAATGTATATCTTCAAAGGTAATTTGTGAAGGATAACATAGCTTGTCTAGATTTACTGTATGATGGATAAAGAAAGTCTGAATTCTTGTTTTTAATTACATTAGAAATCAAAGTCCTGACTGGTTTGGAGTAGGGATGTATGGGTGTACTTGAGTCGACTACTCCACTACTCGCATTTCCTCCCTCCCTTATGACCTCTGTATCAGAGGCAGCAAAAGGGGAGACTCAGGAGCCGGTGCTGGGGGGAGCCGGCTCAAAAGCTAATTCCCCCAGCACCATCTCTTTGGTGCCACCTGCCGCCGCCCCTCCACGTTGCTGCCTCTATCAGAGGCAGCAGTGTTGGGGGAGGGGGGCAACGGTGGCTGCCACGAAGAAGCCTCTGCCTGCAGCGGGTCCACGCTTGCCCTGAGCAGAAGATGCTCTGCATCCTGAGGAGCAGCCCTTGTCCGTGAGGAGGGGGGAGGAGCAGAGCTCCATGTGGACAGGGGCTGTTGCACCCAACACGAGCCAGGACTGAGCAAGCCAGGCTCAGTCCCGGTTTGCGCTGGGTCTGGGGCCACTTAGTCTCTGCATTTTACATGCCAGCCTGGCTCAGGCTCAGTCCCGGTTTGCGCTGGGTTTGGGACCACTTTGTCTCTGCATTTTAAATGCCAACCTGGCTTTTACTACATTTAAAATGCAGAGCCACAGCAGGAGTTGCTCCTGGATCCAGCGTGAACTGGAACTGAGCTGGGCTTCCTCAGTCCTGGCTTGCGCCAGCTCATCTGCTGCCTGCTCGCCCAGCTCCTACTCCATTTAAACTGCAGAGCTGCAGTGGGAGTAGCTCCTGGACCTTATTGACTAATCGTGTAGTTGATACAGAATGTATTGACTTCCTGATTAGCCACCTTATTGACTAATCGTGTAGTTGATACATTCTGTATTGACTTCCTGATTAGCCAGTTACCTGTCTCCTCAATATCCTTAGTTTGGAGGACTTCATAATGAATGGGAAAACTTAAAACAATAGGGACATTTATAAGAGCCTAAACATTCAGTCATCAAAAAGGGAAAAGATTTTTTGTCAGACTGTTTGTTTAAAACTTAGTTTTTTCTTTGGTCTTTTAAACACCTTTTTAACTTGAGTGATGAACATTTTGGAGAAAGCAAACATTTGTTAAAGTTTCAACACTTGTTCCTTCAAAAGAAGTTTGAGTTTAAGGTAAATATTCCTGAGACCTCCCAGATGATTATGCTTAATTTTTTTGGAGTACCAACTTGATGTTCATAATCCAGGCAAATACAAGCCAAAATAGTTCTTTATAAAGTCTGTATCTATCTTGAAAGTTGCACAAGCCTAATTTTTAACAAATCCTTTTCAGATCACTTTTAAAAAGGATGAATCTGATTCAAATGAAAAGAGGATTTTCTTCTTTTAAAAAAAAAAAGCCTGATATGTTCATGATTTTAGTGGAATTTGCAGGAGATAGTGAGGCAGGACAGTGGAAGAACTTTATGTAATATATTGGTTTTTAAAACCCCAAAGACCTTCTGGCCACTAATGGGTATGGCTGACGCATCGTGTAAATTGTTAATTGTATTAACAGCCATTACTGAGCTACAGTTTTTTACTTCATCTGTGATAAACTCAATTTCAAGAGGAAGAAAAACTCCCAGTTTTCCATTTCCTTGCAGTATTGATTTATGGATGGTTCTCACAAATGTTAATCAAATCCAATTGAAAATATTACATTTATATCCTGAAATCTTGGTTAATTATGAAAAGATTATTAAAAATTCTGTATGAAAATGACTGACATTCATAAAAACACTTTTCTTTTTTTCCAAGATATGGAGAAAGGAAAAGTATGAGTATTGAAAGGTATGTATGATTATATTAGTATTCAAAAAATTGATAACATTAATAACTAACTAAAACAAATCAATGTAAAATAATGTATTAGAGTCATCACATTTGTTTGACTTGTTCGCTGATCTACTGATTGTGTATTAATTATATTGATTACTTTACTAATTGCCTATTATCATTCTGAGGCTTGGTAGGTTCTTGTCCCAACATCAGGCCCAGAATTGCTGTTCAGTTGGGAACTTTGATGTGCACAGTTGCAATATGCATACTTAGGAAAAGCCTTTTGAATGTGAATTATTTTAAATTATTAACACAATGAGTTAAGTCACAAATACTCCAACCTACCAAGGTAAATCAAGATAATACAGAATGTGCTTCTGAGCAGCCGTATACTTTCACCATCCCTTGCAAAAGAATCCAAAGTGTTGGTTATCATTATCACCATCATTACCAATAGTCATCATCCTGGCACCTCCCAAAAGTTACAATTCCCAAGGCACACCGACTGAGATATAATGTACTAGGCCTAATGCATATTCAGTAGGGGCTTCTCCCCTTTTTCTTATTTGTATTTTCTCACACTACTAATGTTGGGTGCTTTTCTTCCATATGTTACCAATCTGTTTACCTCAAGCTCATTAGCACATGCATCAGTTAGTTACCACGGCATGCTTGTGGTCAGACATTTGCTGATGTTCCTAATTTACAATATCCCAAGGTGGTATAAACTAGCATCTTGTGGTTACCTGTCGCAGTTGCATCATTATATCATTCATTTTTGTGATACATTAGGATTTAATTTTACTTCTAGTTAGCTGCATATGCTAAGGCATTTGGACCTTCTGTCTTGTTTAGCTAGGCTATTAGCTTTGCAGGATCATTACATTACTCCCTTAACATATGTCAATACCTTGCCTAGCAAATACCTATAGACCAGTGTTTCTTAAATGTGTTTTGCGGCAGTCGAAGGTGTGCCGCAGAGAACAACAGAGTTCAAAATGGCAGCCCTTAAAGGCAAATTTCCCCCCGCCCTTTTTTTCTTCTTTTTTTTTTTGCTGCTCAATAACTTCTTTCCCCCCAACCTTCCCCCTCCCCACCCCAACAAAATAATCCTTGGTGTTCCTCATAAAAAAAATATTGTTTGGTGTTCCTTGGTCTTAAAAAGTTTAAGAAACACTGCTATAGACTGGCCACCAGTACCTAAGACATCAGACAGGACAATTTTATAAGTATTCGTTGATATTTAATGTATATTAGGACAGCTAGTTAGACTTCACTATGTAAGAGTCAAGCTTCCTCTCCTTGCCTTTGGGATACTGTATAACTTTTCTCTTCTCAGTTTTCCATCTTTTTTTCTCATCATTCTCCATTCCACTTGATTGCTTTAAATGAGAAGAAAGCATCATTTTTCTTAGGACATAATCTAGGGAGAAAGTGTGGGGCTTTTGATTATCTAAGAAGTAATGAGGAGGAAATTTATGTAAACAGTTCTGCAAGCAGCTACTGGTCTTAATAGATATGGAAGTATATATGGATAAGTTTTGTGCTTCAGTGGAGCATCTGAATTACTTACTTTTCTACTGAACTGTTCTGACTATATTCTACAAATGATTTACCTTTAGTCCCATAAAATCAGCATCAGCAGCAATGTTTTTCTCTTTATGCTGATCTGATGTAATTTCTCCAGATGTACGTTATAGGCTGTGTGACCTTCCACAGAATTATATGTGAACAGTGATAAAATCTGTAAAAGTGTCTTGGGTCTTGGCTTCATTAGGGAATTGTGCACCAGTGTAGATATGCAGTTATGGACTAAGTCCCAGACCAGTCACTTCTGTTCTCTTCTCTTTAAATTCTGCTAGTCTCCAAGCAGATCAGTTTAACTCTTCCACTCTGGTATAATCCCATATCTGGAATCTCATCCACATATTCGCAATCTTTGGCACCTTTCTTAAACTTTCCCTTTTCCTGCCCCCAGTTCACTTTCTGCTCTGGATCTGATTTTTTTCAAAGGTAAAACTGACAAAATTTGACCTGGCCTTTCCTTTCCT